TCACTCCGCATTAAAGCACATGTTAGAGGACGGCTTTCAGCAAGTAATTGAGATAAGCACGCAGCCGATGATAGCCTACCATGTAAAGCAGATTGCTGTGCAGGAAAAACTTGGGGACCAGGAATGGCCATTTGTCTTGGCAACTCTTCCACGCAAAACAGTTCCTGTCAAGGAGCAGCACGAATTCTTTCTTCTCAATACAGTTTGTAGGCTTCATACCCTGGGATTTATCATAGACTGGTCTTGCGTGAACACCACTTCTTTGGCTAAGGTGATTCGTGAATTTAACTATTCTTCGTTGGAAAAAACTTCCGATACAGATATTGGTAGCCTCAAACCATAAACCTTCCATGGACACTTCTTTTAAATACCATGAAATTATTTCAAAAACCCTCAAGCGTACGTTCATTCAACATGCGATTATCCATTTCCGGGAATATCTACGTCCAAAACACTAGATTATATATTATAGATTTTAATTTGATTAAAACTGTCCATGATATACCGTGTGACTTGCAAAATTTATCCAAGAAAGTATGCAAAAGAGAAGCCCGCCACCGCAGTTGTCCCTTTCGTAAACGGTCGCTGCCATTTTTAAGACACTTAGAAAACTTTTGAGCTTTTATTGAGAGTGTTTTTATTAACAAGAAAGAAAATCGCAACTCAGGGTCGAACCCGGACCTTTCGTACCCTTGACTCTTTTCCTTACCACTACACTTCCACACCGACCTGCCAAAATTCTGAAAAATTTAAGTACATAAACGAAAAAACTGTTTTTCTTAACGGACACATCAATAGCAAGTGAACCTAGCCCTTTCCACAACTTTAAACGCAAATTCAACTTCGGCTTCAAAGTCGTTCTTTTGAAGACTATTCAAAAACGTATTATTTTGCTTATTGAAACTTAATCCTGGGAATGTATTGCATCTATCATGACTAAAGGCTTGGTTACTGATGGTAGCATCGACCGTTAAAAATGGCAAAGACCGTTTACGAAAGGGAATGGGCCTCGCCGCCTTGTTGAAGATATTTTATTAAATGAAAATAACTTTATCGAAACACCAGTCATAATACAAAGGGAGTTTTTCGGGGTCAACGCCTCCAAATTTGAGCGTAAACTACGTCTCCCTTAACAACGACTTGGAAAAACTACCACCAAAGCAGAGCCAAAGCTGTATTCGATAAAGATGAAAATTTGTTTTGATCAGCGTTGCAATGACATTGGAGTTGTCATAGAAACGAAATGACGCCATAACCTGTTTTACTTGCAGCCGTATTTTTCGGCTCCGCACTGGGAACATCTTCTTCAAAAATCGTTCACACGAGCTTTTTCCTGCAGCAGCTGCCTCGATGTTTGTAAAGTTTAAGCAAAATCTATAAGAGCGCTATCGAGATATTTTGGGATGAACTTTTAATGGTTAGAAATACGGTAATTATAAAAACTGAACAATCTTGATGTTCGGCCGTTATCTATAGAAAACGAAGCGCTTTTTAAATGCAATTTCGCCTCATAGTAGTTTCAATCCTTTCAAAAACTTGTGTGAAAGATAATGAAGATACCTTTAGCCGATTGCTAGGAAGAAGGAATTAATCAATATGTATCGAGGCGCTCTTGTTTAGCGGTTTTGTAAACAAATAAGCGAATAATTTGAAACCGCTCAACATATTTTTTTGAAAATTTAAGATTCTCGAAATTAACCGTCGTTTTATAGGACCTTTCCGTTTCAAGATTATTGATAGCTTGTAAGGGAATAAGATAAGGGCTACAATTCGCTAAATTTTTGTCGGAAATTTCGTGTTTACAATTGAGAGCCTCTCATTACACATACATACCAACTCTTAATACAATTAACTAATCAATTAATCTGTATCGCCGAATTTATTAATCTGTATCGAAAAATAAAGTCATGCAAAGACGAAAGGTTTCTCAGTTTGTCAGGCAACGCGTTCCAGAACTTAGCAGCAGTATAACTAAAAGAATTTAAGCCATAAGAAATAGTAACAGGTTTAGGTAGACTAAGGTTATCAGTACCTCTCATCGAATAATCAACAGATCTCAGAGAAAGCAATTCTTTGAGATTCTGCGGATACTGTTCAAGATGAAGACATTTATAATAAAGATAATTATAAGCATGTTCTGTATCCGCTTGTTACTGAGGAAATAGTTTCCATTCCGTTACAATAGGTCACCGTATGATGAGACTTTGTCATTTAAGATGACCCTAAGAATGCGTTTGCTCAACATTTCTAGCTTATCCTTATTTCGAGAGTCACAAAAATGCCATACGGTAGAACAATACAGGAAGTGTGGTATTATACGCTTTGTAGAGGCGTAATAATACAATGGCAGGTATAAGCTTACGAAATCTACTTATGACTTTGAATTGATTAGTTATCTTTTTACATATGTTAAAGATGTGCTCATCAAAACAGAGTCTGTCATCCACAGTTATTCCAAACAATTCCATTTGATTTTTGCACCGGAAAGGAAAACACATGATCTGTGTTTCCTTAGCTATTATCACGGCCTAGTGTTTGGTGGGATTGACCAACATACCGTTGCTTCTGTACCATTCGTTTGCAATATTGGGCTGATGCATGAGCCTCCTGTCAAGTAATTTAGGGTCAGTGTATGAGTCATATAATTGTTCATCATCGGCATCCGCATGAAGCTTTACCTCCGTAATATGATAAAATAAGTCACTGATAAAAATATTAAAAAACAGAGGCCCAAGCAGCCTCGTACCCAGGCCAGTTCGCGCTATCTGAATGACCAGAGGAGGCTCGGTGAACTTTTCACACGTCACATCCAAAATCGCCGAGGACGACTGGGAACGAGGCTGGGGCCCAAATACACTGCCCTAAAGGACTCCTCTAGAAACCGCTGCCCATTCAGATGTTACAGCCCCTTTTTTAACCTTCTACAATCTTCCAAAGAGATAGTCAAGGAGCAGCGCACAAGCGCTGCTACTCAGGCCATATGCTTTTAATTTGGCAGAAGAAGAGCGTGTGGTATTATATCAGACGAAATTTCTGCTCCTCTTCCAAATTTTCAAAAGTTTTGGTTGAGTTTAAAGTGTTGCTTTGTTTTGGTGTGTGGTAGCCAAGCAAATTGCTTTACCTTACTTCAAGTTTTTTTTGTATCTGGCTTAGAGATTATGCAACCTTAATTCGCTACATTTATGACGCAGCCAGGAGTCACATTTAGATATTCAGTTTCATTTTTATTTTATTTATTTGATAAAAAAACTCAGTACAGACTTCAATGTTAGTGAGAGTAAACCGGCAAAGCAAATTTTTTCCCAATCTGGAGGGATGCAGGTGGTGCAATTGTGTGGCTTTTACTCGTAGCTTTAAGTGAGAAAAAAATATTCTATTTGCATTTGACGCCTTTCAGTTATAGAAATGCAAAACTATGTACCGTTAGTAACGTGAGGGATCACTTTTTATGACTTTTAAAGACCTTGAGGACGAGCAAATATTTGAAATAAAATGTGGCAGTCTTCTTTTCTGCATGTTTTAGTAGTTGATTCGTTTCAGTTTCCTATTTCAGCGTCCTGTCTTGGCTTGGCTTGGCTTTCAAACATAAAAGTTTATTTCCTTACACAAAATGCACTATCGGTGTGAAACGCATCCAAATATGTAAAGCAGTGTTATCACGACGTCTCCGTATCTATTCAACAATTATTCCTCGAGCCCGAATGGGCTCTGCGTCAATAGCCCATTCGGCCTTTGTCCTCATCGGCTATTGTGACTCAGAGGCCATTCGGAATTGTTTTAGTAAAATCCAGCTAGTGGGTCAAAAATATCGAGACAAAACAAGTTTAGCATTTTAAGGCTATTCTTAAAGCCATTGTTTTGGTTTTCAAAGCCGGCGCTTTCGCTACTAGTGGGCTATAACGTATAGCCTAGTAGTAGCTCAACCAATCAGAACGCAGCATTGATAATAGCTAGACCACTAGTTGGATTTTAAGGATAACCCGTGCCTGGCTTCTTTAAGTATTATACAATTGCGGCTCTACTGTCTAAGGGTTAAAAAAAATCAGACTGGGTTCTTCCAGGTTATAATTTTGTTACATCAGCTAAGGTGTCGCTTCTTTCTGAAGACTGTGTAGTCTCGACAGTTCCGACTTTTTTCTCACCATCAGGCTTCTCGCTGCTCAGGCTTTGCTTACTTTCTTCTCCTGTTAGTCCTGTCGAGACCTCTGGCTTTTCGTCGCCAGTCTCTAAGCCTTCGTTATGAATTCCGGCGTTTTTCTCACCATCAGGCTTCTCGCTGCTCATACTTTGCTTATATTCTTCTCCTGTTAGTCCTGTCGAGACTTCTGGCTTTTCGTCGTCAGTCTCTAAGCCTTCGTTATGAATTCCGGCGTTTTTCTCACCATCAGGCTTCTGGATGCTCCGACTTTGCTTATTTTCTTCTCCTGTTAGTCCTGTCGAGACATCTGGCTTTTCGTCGCCAGTCTCCAAGCCTTCGTTATGAATTTCTTTGAAAACGTTTACTATATATTGGTCGTAATCTATCCCATCATCTTCCTGTTGCTCGTTATCATTAACAGCGTCTTCGTCGGGGTTTTCTTCTTCAGCCCACTGCAAAGAAGGGTTATCAGCTCCTAGATCCGGGTATTTATTTCCGGTGTCTGCCAGCTTTAAATCGTTGCTGCTTTCATCTCTCTTGTTTATGCTGCTCTGTCTTTCTACTCTAACTCTGACTAAGGTAGATGTGGTAATTTCAGGCTTGCAACACAGCAAGGACATATAAACAGGCATAATGCACAGACCGTGAATAAGACCAAACCCGACGATTCCAAGGAACATTCGGAAAAAGATTCGGAATATTTCGGATGCAGCAAATGCTAAGACGATCATTCCCAGGAAAGTACTGAAACCTGAAAGAAACAAAAAAATAAGATAACTCTGCAGTTAGAGCACGGGAGAGGGACCATTTATTGCTGTCACTCATGTGCATTTGATCCATTTATAGGCAATTTGCGTGAGAAAGATATTATTGCTTAGTAAGTGAGTTGGAAGGCCGCTGAGAACTAACACTGAGAGACTTAATATACAGTACTGCCTTCGTAAAAAAATCTGCAAATGGCTAAACGTTATAGTCTTCTCGGATAAGGACGATATTCGAAAAGCCTCTTCTCACAACCCTTGCACATGTAATAAGATCTGTGGAACGTAAATTACCCACACAGTGGTGGTCTGTCTCAAATTCACACTCATGTTAGGGGCATTCATAACTTATTAATTCTCACTGTTCATTACTTTCAAATTGCGTCACAAGAATTTTTTGCAAATGTCTGCCAAACGGTGATGTAAAAAGATCCCCACAAAGCCCTTAGGGGAGTGAAAAGATGTTTCCGGTTTTTTCGCCTGTTCACAGGTTCTATTGCATCATTACATTACCTTAGTTCGTCGTACAATATTTAAATGAATAATAACCCGCCAAAATATAGATCCAAGCATTTTCCACTGTAAACCTGGTTGTACCACTATTTTGTTTGTGGTGCTGCTAATCATCTTGGTTGAGATAAGATCTCAAAATGTGATTTTTTTTTCGTAAGATTAATGAGGTTGACTTACCTCCCATGAGTACACTCGCTCCCACAGTACTCAGAGCATCTACCACTCGCTCGTTTGCTGATAACTTGTTGGACACAACGTAAGCATGCGCAATGTGTGCGCTGTAATCAACTGCAAAACCAATAGCCATGACAAGATTTATCATAGACACAGCGTTGAGCGTCACATTCCAAATAACCATTAAACCAAACAGTTCGCATATCAGGGCGGCAAAGTTGAACAACACGAGGATTGCAACTGCGCAGTCTACCAAGAAGGGACTGGTGATGACAAAGACTGTAATGGCAGCGATTATGAGGTTCCGTATAGTTTCATGTGATGTAATAACATACTGTTCGAAGAAAATAAACAAACGTGTAATGGGGAAGGCGCTGAGTTTGGACTTTGCTTCCAGATCTTCGCGAAGTGTTTGCATAGCATTTTTCTGGAATGTAGATTCATCGTTACCTTTCATAAAGCAAATAATGCGCGAAGCTTCTAGCGCAGAGCCATTATCAGAAAACTTCAGATCTTGAGCGAAGAATGAAAATTCTGTTTGATTGAGGAAGACTTTCAAAGCAGGCACAAATGCTGAACCGGTAGTGCTAATGCCAGTCCTGTTAGCAAATAATGAAAAGTGATCCATCCACGACAAAGAACCAGCTAAATAATGTTCGTTGCTTTCGACGATATTCGTTAGGTTTCTGATAGCTTGCTGGGTGGAACATTTCTCATAGCTTACTTTTCCAGTTTCTACAATGCTGACTTCGATTGCATGTTCAAAATGTTTTTCTTGAGCAGTCAGAAATCTTTTCAGGTAAGAATCATCCTTCGCCAGGATCCTTCTGTCGAATTTTTCCTCTACTTTTGTAACGCCGTATATTCCGGCACCAAGTAACCCTAGTGACAGAATTATAACGACTACTTTGGTGGCCGGATGGGTCAAAAACCTGCCCCAGGTCTCCATAGCGCGATTTGATAACTGTGGGATCGGCTCGTCCCAGGCTGGCGCGCCCTCCTTTGGCTGAGGTGCTCGGCAGAATGGTAAGCAGTCTCGACGACCTGATTTTATTCTCTTTACGTCGTATGTCATGATGGCCACGAAATAGGTGATGCTCATTAGGTAGGAGAATGTCACTGTTAGAGCCGCATAGATACAGAAATACCTGACAAAACATACACACAGTTAGCGTGCTCTTTAACAAAAATGGAAGATATGTAAGTCAGTTGTGCCAAGCAATTTTTTTCGCCGTACTTAAGAATGCATGACAAGCTGATCTGAACGTTGGTTGTTAAAATATACAAAAATATAATGGGGATGAACAAGCATTATTGAAACAGAGCTGAATAGAAGTGTTTTTATATTGAAAATAAATGATATTTACATTTTCCAAACATACTTCACCTGTCTCTAAAAATTTCATAGTAATCACTGTCTTTATTTTCTTCATTACGAGCCAATCTCTGTCTTTATATAGTTGCAGCTACAGTCGAACCCCGCTTAATACGAACACCTCATTATTACGGACAGTTTGCTTTGTCCCTAGGGAAAGAAAGCCCTCACATTTTCTCCTAATTCAACCCGCTTAATACGGACACCTCATTTTTTCGGACAGTTTGCTTTATCCCTGGGGAAAGAAAGCCCTTACATTTTCTCTAAATTCAACCCGCTTAATACGAAAACCTCATTATTACGAACAGTTTGCTTTGTCTCTGGGGAAAGAAAGCCCTCACATTTTCTCCTAATTCAACCCGCTTAATGCGGACAACCCTTCAATGCGGGCAATTTCTATGCTCCCCTCAGTGTTCATATTAAGGGGGATTGATTGCATTAAATTAGTTCCGTATATAGGTTTAAAGTTATGGCCCTTACCTTATCGCTGGAAACGAGGAGGACGTACTAACAGCGAATGCCACAAGATCAGTCATAGTTGTCATGGTAACAGTGGCTCCTGAATGCGACATCACAGCCTTAATCTTTTCTGTTACTGACATGTCCCGTGGCTGTCGATCAAGTTCATCTACTAAAATGAACATGTCATCGATTCCAATCCCAAGAACCAAAAACGGCAACACGCCCATGAAACTGACGAAAGGAACACGACACCACATAGCAAGGCCAAACCCGGATAGTATTCCAAGGGCCACAGCAAACACTCCTGCGTTAGCGAGCAACGAGTGACCGGTCAGCGGATTCAGGAACTTGCCAAGCATGACGCAAGCAAATGTGATCATTAGCGTAAAAGTGATTGACACCAGAGTGATGTCAGAGCCACTGCTTTCAGCAATAGCATCGTCCTGGCTTCTCTCGCTTGAGTAATGGACTTTAAAACAGGTAAAAGTACCGTCTAACAACTCCAGTTTGTCGATGAACTTCTTCTCCCACTCCAGAACTTTATCAATTTCTTTCTGGTCGCTAAAGTCATTCATTAGATACACCATTTGCAGTGCTGTGGCTTTTTTGATGGTTCTGTCCGGTGGCGTGGTGCCACCAAAAGTGCGTTTGAAGTTGTAAGAGAAGGTCCGGCCATTTCGCGTCAAAGGGCTTGAGCTGTCATAGGCTTTTGTTATTTTCCCTAGAATCTCATCCAGGGTTTTGTTATCGAGGTTGCTCTCATTAAACTGTAAAAATTCCAGCGGGTTAATTATCATGCAGTCGTCCTGTGTCTTTGCTTTGTCTCCTGACAGCGTGACACAGAATTGAGAGTATGATTCTAACTCCATAACTGCACGATGTGCCTTGAAAGCCTCCCTCAGACAATCAGGAGCTAGGACATTCAGATGACCAGGAGACGCCGTTAAAAGGACGATTTCCTCTCGAGCTTTTAATCGGAAGTATTTCTCGGCCCTGTCTAGATCCTCCATAGAACGGCTACCTTGAGGAATATATAGATCTACTCCTCTGTTTTTTGCTTTGAACCAGACAAAACCTACTGAACATACACTTACAAATACGAGACATGTTGAGATGATAATTAGCGGGTGCTTTGCGATTCCCTCGCCAAACCAACCAAAGAAACGTTCCAGTCGAGTCATAAACCAACTACAGAACCTTGACCACCAAAAACATGGGCTGAACTTGGATGCACAGTAACCACTAGGAAGAAAAAAGAAACTGTCTAGTAAAAGAATTCTCTGAAACGTTTGCAATAAGGCGCTTTCAGATTGCTGATTGCCTACCCTCCTTTATGAACCCAACAAATCTTCTCTTAATTGTTGAATGACTTCGAGGTAACTCACTCAGATAGGGCGCAGCAATCGGCTATAAAAAGCTTGAAATTTGGCGAAAAAACTCACCACCTTTGTAGCTTTTCATTGGAAAAATCGTTATTCGTACGTGTGAAAAACATTGTTTGTTCGTCGGAGTAACCAGAGAAAACATTCCGACTTAGCTTTTCATTGAGTATATCTCCCAGGGTATATCTCAGTGTAATAAAAAAGGAGTTGTTTACAACTGTGACAATAGACGGATCGAAAGCACCAATCACTGATTACGAGTCTTTTAACAAGTTAGCCTATCATCCAATCAGATGAATTTTATAAATAGATCAGGTTTTTTTGTCAGTTTATTCAGGGGACCCGGACGATCAAATCAACCTTTCTGCATCTTCCATGAATTTTATAAATAGATCACTTTTTGTTCCAAGGGCGGACCTTTTTTGTTTGTTTGTTTGTGTTTTTCAATACCACCCGCTAGCCCTGGGGGAATCGGAGTTAGAGCTGCAAGAAAACTTCAGATAATGTGTGGTTTAGCCGTGAAGAGGATTCGGATGTGGTTTGGTTTGTATATATCAACAACAACTGTATTTACATCAGTGAATCTCGTACGTAATGGATGGTGAAATTACGTATACACCCGGAAAAGCGAAGCCTTGAGTGCAGTCACCCGTAAAAATACTCAACGCCATTGCCACTCTGGAAAATTGTCATATCAGTAATACAACAAGGTTAATGTCTGTTTTAATACCTATGTTGAAAAGTCCCCGAATCGTGTATGTGGTTGGTAGCGAATACTTGTGAAACTCAATGCAAAAAATGATTTTATATGAATTTTGTTAAAAATAACCAGATGCTGCCGATGCAGCATAAAAATGAGGGCACATTTACGCCTGGTGTGAAATCAGGCGGGCGACCCCGTGTTAAAACTCATCAAACTTTTAAAATGATTTGAACCGTCACTCGGCTGATGGCCCCATGGCCGGACTAAAAAAAAATCGAAAAAAGGAAAGATAAATAACCAGATGTTGCCGATGCAGCATAAAAATGAGGGCACATTTACGCCTGGTGTGAAATCAGGCGGGCGACCCCGTGTTAAAACTCATCAAACTTTTAAAATGATTTGAACCGTCACTCGGCTGATGGCCCCATGGCCGGACTAAAAAAAAATCGAAAAAAGGAAAGATTGCAGGCGGCATATTTTAGTTTACTGTTTCCATTAGAGGTATTTGTTAAGTAATCCTACCTTCCAATTTCATTACAGCTTTGTTCATAGTATTTGCCACTTTCGTATTTTATTTTGAAGATAACGACAATTTTTTTTACCGCTTACGACCGCTCAAAGTATTTATTAAATATTTTTTCCGCAATCAAAAGGATCAGTTTGCGAATAATTCTTAGATTCTTAACACTAACCCTGTTAAAAACGGATGAATTTACCATAGAACTGAATCTCTCATCAAAAGTCGCTCAAAACTCGCTGGACACGACCAACCGAACAATTAGTTGGTGAAAGCCCACAAACCAATGGTTTATCGAAACATTTAACTTGAATTGAAATTGTAGTCTGGTGACTGATAAAAAAAATTGACCTGGACAGGAAAATTGGCTGACTTTGCCATAAATTGGACAGTTAAAAGATGATGGAGCCCCCCAGCAAGGGCATTTGAAATGATGGAAGCCCCCGTTTGTTGGTTCACTGTTTAGTGAGTTTAAGTGAAAAAAGAAAAAAAAAATCTGTAGATACCCCATATGGACGTTGCTCCTTGCTTTCTCTTGTTCAGAGGGATTGCAAATCACTTCTTCGCTTCTTGCTGCCATCTGGGAAAGCTAAATCTCTGATTATTATCGGCTATGGATACTCTTCAATTGCAACTACACGTTACGTTTGCGGCGTTGACTATTTTCATCTCGATTAATCGATGTTTCAAACAGCTTGTGGCACTTTCTTACGAAACGCATCTTTCGTGACACATTACGGACGTTTATGCAAATTTCCGTGGAAGCAAAACAATATTAGTTTCGCAGAGTGACTTTCCATTGGACGAAATCTTGGAGGTGTTACATTCTTTGGAATATAATCATGATCCTTCGGACAAAACCTGTTTAACACTTTAAGACGGAATCCATCAGGAAATTGAGTAATTTTAATTTCCAGTGGGCAAAAACCTTGTACCAGAATAATTTAAAGAATATTGCATTCTTTTTTTTACATTTTTCAAGGGCTAAAGATGTGATTGGTCATCTGTAATAACATCACAGAAAATTTTTTATGGGAATCCGAGAAACTGAATGTCAAATTTCACAAGAATTGTGAAAATACAGGTAAAATTCTTAACATTCATTGTGTAAGATGTAATTTTGTGAAATTTGACATTCATTTTCTCGGGCTCCCATAAGACATTTTCTTTGGTGTTATTACATATAACTTATTACATCTTTAGCAATTGAAAAATGTAAAAAAGAATGCGATTATAAATAATAATTTATTGTGGTACAAGGTTTTTGTCCACTAAAAGCTAAAATTACTCAATTGCCTGGGGGAGATCAGATGACGTAGGTGCAAGGTTTACACTTAAATTGGAAATAATTTTTGCACGAAAAATAACAGAATACATCAAAGACTACAGGCAAAACCGCGTGAAAACGAGATAAAAATCCTTTAAATAGGCGGGCTACCCAAAATTTCTGATTTTAACTTCTTTAGTGTTTTCTTTTTCAATCAGTTTGAGTTTTGTTTGGAAAGGGTATATTGATAGCGTTAGGTCATCCTAACAAATTATGCAAAGCTCTCATAAAACGTAGGGATTGTATTTTTTTGTTCAGGTTACAAACCTGTTTCATGCTGATCTGAATGGAAAAAGACTTATTTAAAAGAAACTGGTAACTTTTGTTTAACTTTTAAAATTGTAAAAGATGACACCAAATTGTGTCTGTCTGCAGCTCCCTGGCTTCACTAAACTCGCGGGATACAATTTACCAAATGTTGCTCATGAAAAATAAAACGTGCTAAAATAAATTTGTCGTTTCAGTTATTTGTTTCGAATCTATGGAAGTAAAAACAACAACGTACCCAGGAAATCTGCCTTTACATGTCGGTAATGATGTAAACATTACATTTACATCTACACTGAAATTGATAAGATATCACTCCGGCTTTCACAAAACGTAAAATGCAAAATAATCAATAAATGAAATGGGTGAGTATATGCACGTATAAATTTATGAAAACGGGATATTTTGGAAGATTATAGCAGGAATGCCCGAAGTCTTATTCGTTTTCGATGTATATCATAGATGAACGTAAACGAATAGTACATGACGTGAAACAGTCTCCTCTGTTGCCGAAAGTACTTAGTTGGCCCTTCTAACATTATGGTCGACTGATAAAGAGTTACAACGCACAGAGACCACTTTGAGTGCCAAAAGTTTAAAAATCCTAACACCAATATTAAGGAACCTGAAGGCTTGCACGAACATAGACCTCGACTTTTTTCCGCGTATGCTACTAAGAACAATATCGGTTTCGTAATACGCTAAAACAGGTTACATCAGCAAACCTGACAGCTTGCATGAACTCAGACCTAAACAATTTCCGAAACTAGTGAGCTATGAAGGCCGAGCAATATCCCAGCAATATCGGCTATATGATAATAAAGATGATAACAATTTAACCACGCTGAAATGAAGAAACCTTACAAATGGTTTAATTTTGAATTAAATGCTCAGTTTTTCAAGGCCGACATCATAATGATGTAAAACAGTCCTCGGGAACCACAGGCGGCCCAAGCTCATTTCATGAACGCGGACGTGACTCTTGCTTGCGAGCGGTGTTGTGTTACAAACGGTTATTTAGCGCTATTTTGGTGTTCCACTTTTAGCAGTGGCACACCAAAATAGCGCTAACTCGCCGAAAACGCTTCAAAACGGCCTGAGACGCGGGCAAACAACAAAGAATACAAGAAGGCAATAAGGTAAGTCGATTTTATTTAAAAAATTACATTTTTTCTCACTTTTAAGAAAAACCGTTTGCATCCCATACAAACCTTTGTAAATAACCGTTTGTAACACAACACCGCTCGCAAGCAAGAGTCACGTCCGCGTTCATGAAATGAGCTTGGGCTACCTGTGTGGGAACTTGCTTTGAATTGTCATTCTGTTCGTAGCGCAGCCAGACGAGTACTACCAGATGTTGTGTAAACTTTTGACCTTTGCTATGAAAGATTTTTCGTCTCTTCTATTAGTTCTTCGCCTGTGACATGTATACAGTTCGCCGATTTCCAGTCTTCGTGTAAGCTGCAGAATCATATTTTGTGGATCTTTTTCTCATGCCATATGAATGAGCCAATATTGACCATATTGACCAGTATCCAAGCGGTTAAATGTAAGACAAAAATAGGTTTAAGAGCTGGAATGGGGAACGGGGGTTACACTGAACGCGTTCTAGGGCCCATCATTTGGCAGAGTAGCCTGGAAATTGTACATGAGCCTGGCTGCATGACCTCGTTTGCCCAGCTGGTTCGCCTTTGTCGGCATGTGTTAACCCGTCAAATTCTATCTTAAACCGCCTCCTTGACACTTTTTGCCTCATGGAACACTGTGATCCAAGAACAAATGAATGCTGGTTAGGCCCCATTTATAGGGAGAAAACCTGTCCTTGGTAGAAGAGTCACCCTACCAGACGAGTCAACTTAAGCGAGCGTTTATATGAGAAAAACGGTGACTCCTTTGTAAACAGCTCTCGCGCATACCCTGATTGCCTCACCTTGACCAAATTGACCCGGCTGAGTGAACCAAAGAAAAGAGAAGAAAAGAGAAAAGTCGACCCGGATAGGAGATTGACCCTACAGGCCTAGCCGGGCCACCCATCTAGTCGAGCCAACTTTTTGTTTCTCATGTAAACAGTTCACCGCGTTTCGTAAGGGAAATATATGAAAAGTTGGCTCGCCCAGTAGAGCTCGGTTGGGCAGTTTGTTTAAATATATATCTTTTTGTTTTATTCTTTTGTTTCCTTCTTCATCGCCTTGCCGTAAGGATCTGTTTGCCGTTTCATATTTTTCTACAAGTTTAATTGTACTGATCCAGGTCTACAACTGGGAGATCCGACACCACTCATTTGTTTGTTGCTGTGGACTTGCTGACATTTTATATATTTTGGAGCTCAGTCATAGGCTAGTGACGGTTCTAGCCGGGACAGCTTTCCTCCCTATAAACGGGGCCAAACCAGCGTTCATTTGTTCTTGGATCGCTCTTGTGTTCCATGAGGCACAAAGTGTAAGGGAGGCGGAGTTTAACGGGCCAATTCAACTTTTACCTAGAAAACATGTGGCAAAGGGAATCTTAATATCAAGGAAAATGGCACAAGCTGACGTCATAGTTATCTCTGATGAAAATGTAATCTGTCTCGGTCAAATTGCTCCTCTTTCATCAGACCCACATTCAATATGGTTCTGATGAAAGCGGAAAAATTACAACCGAGAACACTGAAAAAGGTTAGCTTATGCTTAACAAATGGGAACCTGGTAAAAAGCCCTATCGGTGGTCCATTTTTGTGGTCGTAAACCTTTGATTGAACCAACTGTTTAGTGATGGATTTTTGGGGACTTCAACTATATGGTAGCTGCATTTACCATTGGTCAAGGAATCAAGCGAGATTTTTCTTTTGGTGCTACCAGAATCACGGATTTATGCTGCAGGCCCGTAGCAGGGGGAGGGGCAGGGGGGGGGGGGGGTGCTTGAGCCACCCCAGAAATTCTGCTAAAAAAGTGGAATTTTTCCACTAAAGTGGACACCTGTCAATGGAAGCTAAAGTTTTAAAGTATTGTCGATCATAGTAAGATTATGCACAGTTGTTCTTCAGTGCAATTTGGAATTGTGTAAATGATCGAAATCGTATTTTTGCTCTTCCAAAAACAACCAACAGCTTTAAAATATCTGCTTATTAAGTATCAAAATATTCAGAAGCAAAATGGATCCAAATGCACCAATGACAATCACTAAACTTGACCTCTTGAACTTTACTGGTTTCCTAAGAGGTCTGCCAGTGTAAAATATACTACTGTACTAGAGTAAAACTTAGGTTTTTGCGCGTTTATATTGAAATTGTTACAATGTCTTCGCAACAACCGCCGAAAAAAAAAATCCAAACAAGTCGAAAAAAATAAGCAGGGAACACTTTTATCCTGGGTAAAACGTGCACTAGTGACACAGAGCCTGGTGTAGTCGAAGAAACAATCCGAATCAAAGAACAACCCGAAAACAATTGTTTGGCAAATTTTCTGCGAACGATTTCCAAAACAAGTTCTCTATTTCGTCAAAGTCAACACAAACGGAAAATTAGAGACAAGAACAAAAGTATTGTAGACAAATGTAGTGATCTGATATGTATCAAGAAGTATGCGTGCTGTCAAGAAACAGCTCCCTGACACCAGCCTAAAAGAGAAGACTACTATCCATCCCATTTTTCTGAGTCTGCAAAACTGACTAATGACCCAATGTGCGTGACAGAGAGCCATTGATTGAAAATCCAACAATGTATCGTTTATAGATTCCAAAGTGGCCTGTGTCCATGCGCGGCATTTACATGAACTTGAAGATGGACATGCGGAGCAACCTCGACGGCTGGCGAAAACCTTACTTATAAAGTGAAGTCTCGCCCTTTCAAATTTCATGACTCCATAACATCTCGTTCAGTTTCTCAAATGTCGGCGAATTTGTCAGGAGTTGAATTCAAAATCATTGTTTCTAAGTTCTGAAAAAGATAAAGAAAATTGTTGTCTTCTGTTCTCGCCCCCTCCCCCTAGAGCTATAAATCCCCGACGCCCGCCCCCTCTGCACGTTTGAAAATGAAGATGTTCGCCATTAATGGTAAGACGCGCTGTATCTCGACGATCTCATGAAAAAATAGTGGACTGTGAACAGTCTAGAAGTTACACGTCGTACAACGACGCCAAAGAAACGCGTAAAAACTGAACGTGATATCGCGTGTAACCAGGCCAGGCCCTTCATCTAAACCAGCAATCAGACTCCATTCATGCTATAAAGTATTTTTTGTAATCTTTTATTGTCGCAATCTCTAGCATGTTAACAACACTGTTTTAAGCATTTGTCACATTCTACATTTTAGCGAAACTCGAATTAACTATCATTGATAACAAATTAGAAGGTCCCCAATAAATTTCTTCAATCCCATCATCCCGAACAAAATTTTCGTTCAATCCCTCAATCCCGATGGCTTCGTCGTCCGGCTATATCCAGTGTATAGTTTCAATCACAAATTACGCTACCATATTGCTTTAATAAAATCCGGAATCCCGGCTTCCAAATAAGGCAAATCCCGCTTCCCGAAAACCTATTGGGACCCTAAAATTAGTTTGAAACGGAATCCATAAGGAAATTGAGTCATTTTAATTTTCAGTTGACAAAAACCTTGAACCAGAATAATTTAAAGCACGTTAAGTTCTTTTTTACATTAATTTTTCAAGGGCTAAAGATATAATTACATCTTCAGCCCTTGAAAAATGTAAAAACGAATGCAATATTCTTTAAATTGTTCTGGTACAAGGTTTTTGTCTAATGAAAATAAAATTATTCGATTTCCTGGTGGATTTCGTCTTAATAACCTATTAAAAGTAATCATATTGATATCATAAAAATAAGCTGCAATGACATTTTTTAATCTTATTGGGCCTTTTCAGCCAAGTGAGTATTAAAAGGGGCCAGCCCCTTAATTCTCTCTCTTGTTGTCAGCTTGTGTTCAAATGTCCCGTTCTAGTATAATATAATCTGGAAGAGGATGATTGCAGTGGGCACGCCATCAGGAATTTAGCGTACTTCTCCTAGAATGGGATGTATGGCTACCTTTATTATTTCTCCCGTCCTTCATAGGAGCAATCCTCATCCCAGATGGTCAAATTAAACGTATTCCTAATATCGTCTGGAGAGGAAAACATGGACCATTAATCGTCTGAGAAACTGACTTGCCCAGAGAAGGTTGGTTTAAACTCGGCGAATATACTACTTAGAATTTGGTGATAGCACTAAAACCAATGTAATCGTCGAGGTTCAATAAAATCTAATTCAAATCTTAGTGAATTTAGACCAAGAAAAATCTATGAATCTCAAGAAATCACAAAATAACAGAACATGCTTACGATCAATTCAAACAATATTTGTTGAGAACTGTATGAATATGAAATGGCAGGCAAAATCTTTGGGGAAGAGCTTCTGAGTTTGAACCCTTTCCTTAAGTGGCAGGCAAGAACTTTGCGACAGAGTTTCTAATCCTTTTCTTTGCTGAAACTCTCAATCTACTGTTCATGAACCCTTATGTAATAGTTTTGCCCTTCTCAGCGCATGTTTCCTTGGTCCCTCATGTTAAAAGGATTGTTTAAACTTCAAGTTTCCTTGATATCTAACGGGATAACAACTGGACTGCAAAAACAGCCTCGATCATGTTATAGAAGGATTTTAAATCCGAATAATCAGTAAATTCCAAATTGTAGACACGTCTCCTTGTAATAACAGAAGCGATTTGCCTCAGGTTTCCACTGTGATATGCTCCAACTCTTCGCTTTCGGCCGGCATACCTCCTCGCATTGGCGACTAACATTCCTGGTTGGACCATACAGAGATCTGTTGTAAGAAAAAAAGGATCTTTCTTTTGTAAAGAGTTGACCGCTAGCATAAGGTTAAAGTCTGTTTACGAGGAGTTATAAAGGCAATTTGTATTGAACCAATTACATAACTTGTAAAGCGATTCTTGTTTGACCTTGACTGATTACGCACGAATTAAACTAAGACAGAGAAGAAACAAATTTTAGAAAGTGTTTTATTCCACCAGATTAAATATTTAGGTTATTATTATTATAATTATAATTATAATTATTATTTTATTTTACTTTTTTATTTTTTTTTTCACTTCTTTGGACCTTGGGTGTGTTACCTTTTGAACGTTTTCAATGACAGTGGACTTGTTTTCCTTATCCCAGGCACTAAAAGGCCATAATAAAAGGTCCTTAAAAATAGAGTACAGTAAAACCCTGCGACTAAGAACCTGGATTTTTCCAAGTTAGTGTAAACAGGTTCTTATATAAATGGTAGTTAGCACATAAGTTTAGCCTATTTAGCTTCTTAATTTTCTAAAGGAAAAAAATACAATGTAGATAAGAGTATTTAGTGGTTCAGCTTATTCCTCATTATAAAACGTGCATACCATTGCATTGCAGTTGGAGTGATAAGGCACCCATGTCTCGAAAGAGGATTCTGAATGTTGACTTATCTTATTTACCAAAGTGTACAGAATTTTTTCATAGATTTTAGAAAAAAAGAACCTGTTTCAAATTTTAGGCTAAACAGGTTCTTAATATAGAGGGGGCTTAACTGGCAAATTTTACATTAGTAACAGGTTCTTAAAGTCCAGGTTCTTAAAGTCCAGGTTCTTAGTCGCGGGGTTTTACCGTAACCATAAGGGTATAATGTTCATACCTTTCAAGTCAATGATCTTTTTTGTTTTTTCCGTTTCATGTGTCTCTCCTTCATCGGCTTGTGAAGTTAATTCAAGTTTGTGAACGTCCTCCTTGAAATGTAGTTCTCCAAAATGAGGCTTTTTATGTCCTATATTTCAATGAAAGGAGTTGGAAAGTGAAATACAGCATACTTAATGAAACATTCTTAATGAAATAATCGAAAAGCGGAGGAAAAGAAAAGCAGTGGTCTTGGGCCTGATTGTAAATGTAAATGTAAACTATTTTTGTTTACAACTGAACACTTAGGAGTCCTCAAAAACTCTTTGAAACGTGTCCGTGCGTTCCCGGTCGAGTTAGAATTAGAAAGTGTTGGTTTTTAAGGAGAGGGAAAAACCGGAGTGCCCGAAGAAAAACCTCTCGAAGCAAGGGAGAGAACCAGCAACAAACCCAACCCACATATGGCGTCCATGCCGGGATTCGAACCTGGGTCACACTGGGGGAGGTGAGTGCTCTCACCACTGTGCCACCCTTGCTCCAAAGGTAGCTATGGTTGCTCCTGCCCTCACAGCAAGGGTGTCTATGTCAAAGAATCACAAGGAACAACACATTTTGAATTTAGTAATACGTGAGCGGCAGGCAAACAAGAACAAAGCATCCAAAAATGCTGAGATTCTTATTTTTTTACTATGTAAATTTGTAAAATTAAGTTTTATTAATAAGCTCTATACATCGATTTCACGCAGCCATGTGAAACACACTGTAAAGTATTCTCGTATCTTCAGCTGAAGCAAAGATTAATAAAAAGTAATTTGCAACAACCTGCGACAACTCCTTGGCGTTCAAATGGACAACTCAACCTTTTATTTTACCTTTCGTTGGTCCTTTTGGGAAGAAGTCCAGACCTACCTTTCTTTGAGTGGAGGAATACAACTACTCCACTGGAAAGCTTTTCTACGGCTCGTCTCTGACTGAACGTTCTCGTGGGTCTGGGGAATTCTGGGTACAGCAAACGGTATTTGAATATTAGAGCAGTTGCTAAGATACTTCCAGTAACATAAGCGTTAGGCGATTCACTCATGGAATAATGATTTCCAGGACAAACAAGCACATTTATCCCACCATCAACCAACTGGCCCCAAATCTCTTCGACGCTATCTGATGATCTGGGCGAGAAACAAGTATCTTGGCATCTGAGGAACGCGAGTGGACCTCGGTAACGGACCTATTGACAAACAGGAGATAAAAAAATGTTTTCATAAAAGGTATGGAATCTGGAAAAGTTCTTTGTTTTCACAAAAATTATATGGGCGTGGCAAATCTTTGGAACTCATTTAACTTAAATTTTGTTATAAATGATAGCTAACGATGTTTGTCGTCCAAGCATTCAAAAAACAATAAAATATTTAAAATGAATATTATTTTTAGTAACAGTTCGCAAAAACTCTCCAATACTAACCTCGTGACAGAAAGGTTGATTTTTGATGTTGGTACGTTACCTTTGTTTAAAACAATTGTAAACCTGAACATTAATAAACGGAGACGAAGCCCATACCTCTGCGGGCTGCCACTGTAGATGTGTCCTACTGGCAACCATTTGATCCTTCAGGAGAGACTCTCTCAGTGTTCTCAAATTGTATATCGCTAAACCCCTTTCAAGCCCCCGTTTTTCTAGCTCATCAACGATCCATTCTTTAGTGTTCTCCTCTCTCATCTTGTGGTATTCATCGGATGTCATCTTCAGTGAGTCTATTGCCAGCTTTCTCAGATAATTTTCAAATTGGAGCTAGAAGATAACAATCGGCCGTTAGAATTTGTTGTCACGCTATATATCCAACAGAAACATTAGTTCACTATTTTTCTTGTCAAGACAGTGCTTCATACCACATATCAAACAATGAAAAGAGAGGTGAAAATTAAACAGTGTCTTTTGTGTGAAATAACCTCTCAAACAAAGTGTTTTTGTTTTTCTAAAGATATCCAAACACGCCATAACGCATGATTTGTCAGTATTGTAAGATTCAGTCAATACCACAAAGACCATTTTAATGTGAGACAACTTCAATCTTAACACTAGACTCCCTTCTTAGACCAAGGTAATGACAAACCTCGACATGCCGACGCTGCGAATTTTCATGTTCCTGCATTGAAGGTAATCTGCTGCTGACTGTCCGTGACTGCAGAACCCAGGGAAATGTATCAATCATTGCCACAAACTCCACCCTCTTATTATGTTCTGTCATTAGGGAAGCCATTTCATAGGCGAGTAGTCCTCCGTATGAATATCCACCCAAAAAGTAGGGGCCATGACGCTGTTCCTTGGTTATTAGCTGAACGTAATGTGCTGCAAGTTCACGCACTCCACCCCAGTCCTCACTTACTGCTGCTGGGTCTGTGTAACCCAGTGCGTAGAAGGAAACTAAGTCCTAAAAAAAACGAACGAAAAAGTGGCCGTATTAAATAAACACTCTGCTGACATACACCATAAATGTCTGCAAAATATGCTTTACTATCTGAATTTACCTGTCCTTGAAATCCTGTCGCAATCGGCACCAAACTCATCGCGTAACGATGCGACGGGTGGACACAGAAAAACTTTATGGCTGAGCCCTCTGGAGTGTACAGCGGTACAACCTGTATTCTGATTTCAGACGATTCAGTTATTGGCGATACGTCATCTGTTGTCTGTACTTGCGCGTGCTCAGCCTCTTGTCTGTTATCATTTTGAGGCTGGTCATTGGTTGGAGGATTTCCCTGACTTCGTTCAATCATCTTGGCAGTTATGTCTCTTCCCAGTTTAAGAGGAGTTGTGTCTGGTTGCATGAAGTAGAAGACCTGAAACAGAAGGCCTCTTTTATGAACTTTTTGTACAGGGAAAAACTCCTTGGCAGTAGGTCCCAAGCAATGTTGGTTTGGACCTTAGAGGCAGCGTGGCCGCGCTTTTAGAGCGCCGGACTTGTAATGCAGAGGCCCTGAGTTCAAGTCCCGCCCTGACAGCTAACTCGACCATGCTTGTAAATAGCCATCTGGTTTGCCTCTAGCCAGCTGGGATTGTTAACCCTATTATGGTTGATGTACATAATTTGTTTGAGGCATTTGCTCGACCCCACTAGCATTAGTGCTATAAACACTGCCGAGGGTAAATAACGGAACTTTTGTTTCACCTTTAGACCGACCCACCACATCTCATTACAACTTTACAACTCTGTGTAAACAGCTGTGCACCTGGCCGACTTGTGACGATATTCACCTACATGTCATAACTAATAACCAACGTGATAATCAAGGAATTATTTCTTACCTCAAAGGAAACTTGCAGATTCATTTCAAGCTGCATCTTTAGCGTCAAAGCCGCGGTAGAGTCTACTCCATAGCTATACAAGCTTGTGTTGAGATCAGTCTCTGATGGCGAGGGATTTCCAGTCCATTCACTCATTGTCGCAGTAATGTATTCGTTTATGAGCTCTGCCCTCTTTTCTCCATCTTTCTCTAAAACAATTTTTTGGGCGAGAGACTCCGTTGAGTTTGTTTGGTTGTCGGGAGCATTTACTGTTGATCTTAAAATGGACAGTCGCGGAGTTTTCTTCAGCCCTGTATTGCTCTTCAAGAATCGAGGCCAGTCTGCATCAAACATTGAGATTTGACAGCGACCAGGGTCTTCAGTTAACACTTTCACCATGTGCTTAACACCTTTGAACACAAATCACTCATTAAGTAAGGCTGCAATTTATTACATTTATGTAAATTACTTTTGTCGTATTTTTTGAAAGGTGATGCCAAACAACCCTCTTAACACTGGTATCATATCTTTTTGTTTAAGTCCGCCTTCACGTACAGTTTTACATGTGTATAATCTTTTTCCAAACTATGTCTTCTTATAGAACAGTTAGCCGCAAGCCTACACTAATCGGTCAGGACATTTCCCAGTGGCGTTTTGCCCTAGTAAGAAGACATCAATTAATGCTGTACTATTTAAAACGCTCATAGTATTTTCGTCGATCGTATACGCTTACAGTAAGTTTCAACCCACCTTCCTTTGCATCTACAAAACCCAATCCTGCTAGGGTCATCAGTTTTGCGATTCCAGTTTCTCTTTCCATTACACCAGCCCCACTGATTGGTCCCCAGTTTATTGCAAGTCCGGGAAGACCAAGCACATGTCTCCGGTACTGAGCGAGAGAATCTTGGAAAGCATTGCAAGCCGAGTATGAAGATTGTCCCATGTTACCCACGATTGACGCCATGGACGAAAACATCACGAAGAAATCCAGATCCATCTCTAAGCTCATTTGGTGTAGCAACATGGAGCCTAAAAATGGAATAAAAAAAATTCGTTTTCGTTACTATCAGCCGAGGTTTTTGATAGAGAACACTGTTTCTATTTTCTTTAAAACTGTTTTCAAACCTGTTAGCTCATACCGACGTCTAAAACAGTGGCGTCGACAACTGCTGAAAACAATAAGCCTGGAAGGATCTGAGAAGTTAGGCTGGTTTGCCGTTTTACCTTTGATTTTTGGGCCCATAACTTCATTGAAACGCTGAAATGTCAGGTCTTTGATATATTCGTCTCTAAGAACCATAGCAGTGTGTACAATGCCTGCCACATCTGGAAGGGACTGAAGGCGCTCTTTCAAAGCCAACATTTGTGTTTGGCTGGATACGTCTACCTGGAAAAGCCATCGGAAGAGAAAAATATAAAATGAGTTGATTACTGAGGTCAAGCAGTGGAACTTCCAGCTCAGCCACTTTGGGGAAATAGATAAGCTGCTGCTGACGGAAGGTGGCCTTTAAAACAAGAACATCCACCGAAACGCAAAACGTCGCCGTTGTGTAGGGATAGAATTTCACACTTTACGATTGTTTATTGAGAAAATGTCTTACATGCACTTGTGTGATCAGTTGCAACAATCATTTCACTCATGGCGAAACGTTATTATTTATGTGTGAAAAAGTATCGTTAATGTTGCTGAGACTAAAAGAAGTCCTTCTTTAAAACAAACGTCAATTTGCAATTTTAGCATTCTAAAGTCAAAGTATGTAAAATTCTTATGAATTGTAGGCATATTGTCAAATATTTTTCTAAAATGTTGTTTTTCGTGAGTAAAAAGGTTTGATGACTTAGTGAGGTTGCGAGAAATCTACCTACCTGAATTATATGGATCGTTGTACCGGTGCTCCTTTCAATCTGACGCACCTCTTGAATTTTGGAATTGGAGGGCATGGAGCGGCCGAGAAGTACGATAGACTTTGCACCATTTTCTGCCATCCATCTGGCGACTTCAAATCCAAATCCTCTCACTCCTCCTGCTACCAGATAGGATTTGTTTTCTTTCAAACCACAACCATCTAAGCCTTGGGGTAGCACTGGGATGCCCTGAAGGTGATCCCCTTCTTCAAATGTTCCAAGTGATTGTATGAGAAAAGAAATGTCCAAGGACTGTGGTTCAATATCTTTAAGAGATGAGGGTTTGTCCGTAGACTCGTTGGCAGCTTTGATTGATACTACAAAGTCTACACACTCAACCGGCATTTCGAAAAGCTGTTGTGAGACTCCGTTTTTTCCCAGAATTTGTATACTTTTCATGGTTAGCTCCTCGAATGCTGTCGGCGATCGTAAAACGTCTAGTATATTCTCTCTCTCATACTTGAAATTCTTGTTCGCAGGAAAGATGACATCTCCTTCAAATTCAGTACTCAAGATAACTACTTTTCCTCCCCTTCTCAGACTAAGACCACTCCTAAGAAGGGCATTTGGACCCGGTGGATTTAAGAACAGAACGGCGTCAAACTGGTCGATCGAATCATCATTGTAGGCTGGGGAACTCTGTCGCTTTACACTCTCTGCACCCAAATCAGTTAGAAGCCTTTTCGTGCATGAACTGCAAGTGTCTGGGATTGTGCAGTACACTCTGTGACCCAGTGTTTTTCCCAGAAATACTGCCGCTGGTCCGGGGCCACGATTGGCTTCATTTATAAGAAGTTTCTGTTTTTCGGCGCCAGCCGCTGCTTTTTGTAGAGCGTGAAATGCCAGCGCCAGGCATGCTGGAAGGTAAGTGGCTTGTTCCATTGTCAGGTTGGGAGGTTTCAAAAACACGCTACTGACGTGTATTGGAATAAAACGTGCAACACGGCCGGAGGGAATGACTCCACACACATTGTCTCCAATTTGCAAAGTACTCTCGCCACTTATAGGGAGATCAGAGACTTTTCCACTCACAAAGACACATCCATTTGGTTTAGACACATCAAAGAGTGATTCTGAGGGCGTCCAACAATAGCAAACTTCTACAATGACTTCAGATTGCGTTGCCTTTGGAAAACATTTCTCGCGAAGGCAATGCGATTTTGACGAAGGAACTGTTGAAAGATATAGAAGTCCATCTTTCTTCCTCTCTTTTCTTTTCATTCTTTTTGAGGTGTGCAGTTGTAATTCTGACCTGACAAGACGATTTATAAATCGTTTGCTATCTCGAAAGGCCACCTCGTCCTCCACGCTGTCACCTAAGACTTCATCAACTAAGGAGTTAATTTCCCGTTTATCTTCTTTGTTACTCAGGTCGACGGTGGTAACCCTGAGATTGAATTCTTCAAGGTTCGCTGTTCGTCTTAGTCCCCAGACTGTAGAACCCCATGGAATGAATTTACCCTTACCAGAGTGGTCACAGACATCCAAAAGCTGTGTTAACTCGGTGACGAGAAACAGCCTAGAATCCATGAGCTCCTTCTCTATTAACAGCTGCAGTAGGAAGACAGAGCTGCTGAAGGCGAGTTGTTGAGATTGTTCAATGACATCAAAATGTTCTGGTAGAAGTGATGTATCCACAGGCCAGAGATTGATAACCCTCAAAGAAGAGGAATTGATCGCAGAAAAGTCAGCAAAGGCAATTTTTATTGTGTCTTGAACTTCAGAGTCAAAACAGTGACCATCTGGAGGATTTACGGCGATGACATTGACTTCCCGAGCTTGAAGTGATGAGATCAAATAATTCGACAAATTAGAGGAGTCTTTAAGTACTATGAAGGTCAGAGGGGGGGTTCTTTCTCCCTGCCTTGTTAACTCAGCTTCCCTCCACTGGACGTCGTAGGCAAGATCAGCTAAAGGAAGTTGACGCGGTGAGCTTGTTAACTCTGCAACTCGGAAATCAGTCATAGTGAGCAAAACGTAGCCACTTGGATTCATAAGCGTCACATCAAATCGCCCAAACTCGGAAACATTGGCAGTCACGTGGCAAAATAACTGGCTCGTTAATGGTAAGTCATTCAGTGCAACACGTTTGAAACCAACTGGCACAATTGATTTATCATCAATCGAAGAATTTCCCAGAGGAACAAAGCAGGATTGAAGACAAGCATCTAAAATAGACGGATGAACAACATAACGACCAGTTTCTTCTTGGATGGTGTGTGCCTCCGCGATGTCTATAAGGCATAGCCCCTCGTTGTCGCCTTTCCATATCTCTTTGATGATGGAAAAGGTAGGGCCATAGTTAAATCCAAACTTCTCTGTTACTCCTCGGAACTGTTCATTCGGCATTCGTTCCATGTTTTTTAGAAGCTCATTTATTGCTGGACCAGCCGCGGTAGATGCTAAGAAAAGAAAAAAAAACAAACTAAAGGGTTCCCATCTTGTTTATGCGTAATACCAGTTACCGTTATGCTTGATATGTTGGCTGTTTGAAGAAAAACAAAAACTTAGGAGAATAGCACGTAATTTACAATAATGGAAGACTAATAGCAGTTTGAATAATAATCCACTGAAAAATATTTTGACACGAACGAATTACAATATAGGTTTATTCTTACTGCTATAGGCATGTGTGGGACTCTTTGCCTCTTTGCGAGCGTTCATGGAACATTTACAGCATTTACTTAGTGTAAGGAACATTAAACGAATTTATTAATAGTACCTTTGTGATTACCCTTCTTCTGTGTTTGAAGAAGATCCAGACAAATTTTTCCACTGCTTAGAATGATCTCGGAATGGTCATCCTGTACACTTGTTATGTGGTACTCAGCCTCGTTAATCCTTTCAGTCTTCTGGAGACGCAGACGTAACGATCGAACCTGCAAAAGAAAAAGATATAGAGTGAATGTTTTCAATTTAGGAAATTCAGGATTTATGAACATGTATTTTTTGCTCAGGTACGTTCGTGAATATCCTTTATCATTCTATTTCATAAAAGGCATTAAAAACACATTATACTGGAGTTACCTGTGTTTCTGGTAGGGTGAGGAGGCTTGAGAGCTTCACTTCAGATAGTTCCAGGCCAGCCACGTGCACGAATTGATCCATCGCCATCGCAAAGGCCATTTCAAGATACGTAGCACCTGGCATGACGGTTGTTCCTTGGATTAGAGCGTGATCTTTGAGGTCAGGGAAGCGATGGAGGTCAATTTCCGTTTCCCAGCAGTGTAGGCCTGAGTAAAGACTGGTTTGCTTCACCTTTTCCAAAAATGGATGACTTTTCTTTTCTTCCCAGGATTTGGCATCAACTGGTTGAATTATGTTTTGGGGTGGACGTTCTCTGTACCAAAAGGTGTTCTTAATCCATGGATAGGTCAACGAGCGAACAAACTTTGCCGAAGGAATTGTCTGCACACAAGTCCAATCTATAGGAAAACCAAGTGTGTACAGTTTGCATACTGTGTTGAGAAGAAAAGACTTGCATTGCTTGTTGACAGGGACTCTCTTACGAGGAAGGGTCTCCAAAACGATTGGCTTTGCTTGGTCTTGAAGGTTTTCTTGCATAGCAATCTTTTTAACATAATGTGCTAAGATAGGCTGGGTGCTAATTTCGATGACCTGCTTGTAACCATCTCTGAGAAGGTGTTTCATTGCTGAGTAAAACTGAACTGGACAGCGGATGTTACGCCACCAGTACTCGTTGTTAAACTCTTGACCACAAAGGACTCCTCCTTCAACTGTAGAATACATTGGAATCTTGGACAGCTTGGGATGTAACGAAATACGCTTCATTGCTGCTTGAAATGACCTTTTAATGAATTCCATGTGTGAGCTGTGGAATGCACGTTTTGTTCCAAGAACACGCCAGAAAGTGTCTTTTTCGTGTATTGCAATGTGTTGACCCAAAGCTTCAACTGATTCAACATCACCAGACACTGTCACGCTCTCTGCATCGTTGATTGCGGCAATGCAAAGGGTAGGAGTTAGCTTCAACTCATCTAATAGTGCTCTTGCTCTTTCTTCGGACATACCTAAGGCCGCCACGCTACCATTACTAGGACACTGATCTTGCAGAGAGGAGCGAGCTAGCACCAGGTGAACTGCTTCCTTTAGGGTTATGATCCCAGCAATGCATGCTGCAGCAATCTCTCCAAGACTATGACCAAGTACAGCGGAGGGATAGATTCTCCAAGACATCAGAAGTTTTGAAGTTGCATACTGTATTGCAAACGTAGCTGGCTGAGCAATGGAATTTTCTGCGATCCTTGATTTCTCCTCTGATGCCATGAGCTCATCTAAAAGTGACATCGATTTCCACAGATCTTTTATCAAATTGTGGACAGTTAAAAAAGCATCTTTGAAGACAGGTTCCATTTCAATTAGCTGTCTTCCCATAGCATACCACTGGGAACCTTGCCCTCCAAATAAGAAGACAAGTTTTGGGTTAACTGCGTTCACCTCTCCGTAAGCAACAACTTTCTCCATTCCTACTGAGTCGTTGGCGTACTCTGTCAAAATCTTGGAAGCCTCGGGTATAGCTTCGAAAGTAAGAGCTAAGCGATGGGGAAACTGACTGCGACGTTCGTTCAATGAGTAGCACAAGTTCTCCACAAATGTCGCATTATCTTTTGCTTCACCTTCGATCCACTGAGAGTAGAGTCGTGCCATTCGCTTGAGAGCTTCTTGAGAACGTGCAGAAAAGGTGAGGATATGACATGGGCGTCGTCTTATTTCAAGATCATCATCGGCGGTCGCCCTTTGTGTCACTTCCCGAAGGATAACGTGTACGTTTGATCCACCGTAACCGAAGGAGTTTACGGCACCTGTTAGTGGTTTTCCTGCTTCTGTGTTCCAAGGTTCGCTTGTTTGTTGCACGACAATTCCTTTTTGCTGTAACTTTAATTTTGGATTTAGTACACGCACATTAACAGTTGGAACCAATTTCTTGTTTTTTATCATTAACGCGACTTTTATGATCCCAGCCAGCCCTGAGGTAGATTCTGTATGATTTAGGTTTGACTTGACAGATCCTATTTTTAGCTGTCGTGTGGTTCCTCTTGTATAGACATCGGCGATTGAAGTGACTTCTACAACGTCACCGATTGCGGTACCTGTGCCATGGGCCTCAAAGTAAGTCACTTCCTCCGGATTCAAAGCTGATTGTTCGAGAACCATTTTGCATAGTTCAGCTTGCGTCTTAGAACTTGGCGCTGTCATGGGTACTGCATTTTGACCATCATTGTTCATACCGCAGGCAATTATTGAACAATATTCATCATCCTTATCATTCAAAGCCGCATCAGAGAGCTTAAGAACAATTGCTGCAAAGCCTTCTCCCCTTCCATAACCGTCGCCAGAGGCATCAAAACTCTTGCAGCGCCCATCAGGCGCTAGCAAACCAGCCATGCCAGTAATAATCTGCATTGCATGGCTTAAGACAATATTAGGTGCACAAACTATTGCTACGTCACAATCGCCATTATGAAGGTTATCACAAGCAAGTTTGAGTGCTGTCAAGGAAGACGAACATGCGGTATCAACCGCAAAACTTGGACCTGTGAGGTTGAGGCAAAATGATACTCTGTTTGCTAGTATGGATGCTGTTATACCTGTAGAGGAAAATTGGTCGATATTGTTGTAATTTGATGAATCTGTTATCAAATTACCGTAGTCTAGGTTCATCACACCCAGAAAGACCCCTGTCTTACATCTCTGAAGATCCTCAAGCCGCATTCCGGCGTCTTCAATGGCCTCATACACCACCTCCAAGAGAATACGTTGTTGGGGGTCCATTGCACGAGCCTCTTGTTTGGATATACCGAAGAATGTGTTGTCAAAATATTGAATATCCTCCAAATAAGAGCCCCTGACAGCACAGTGACGTCCAGTGACAAAGCGCTTGTGATGGTAAAGTCGGAAAAGCGTTTCATATTGCTCTTGTCTATTTTGGGGAAAGTCTCGAATTGAACTGTTTCCCTGCTCAAGTAAATTCCAAAACATCTCTTTACTATTTGCTCCAGGAAATCTGCAGCTGATACCGACAATGGATATTGGAGGGCGCCTAGATGTCGCCTGTGGCGCACCACCATATCGAATTTGAATAGACATTTTCCTCCTTTTCTGGTTCGTTCGGTTGGGTAGCATATTTTGAAAATCAAAGCTGTCCATCAACTCGAAAAATAATGTGACTGTTGGTGGCAAGATTACCAGAGCATGGATCAGTCCCAAAGCAAACACCACAGGAATAAGTCGAAAGAAGATGTCCTGCAGGCTTGGGTAAATAAGCCCCAACGAAATGGAACCTGAGATCTCGAGAAAGGCTGCCATAAACACAGGCAAACCAACCGATTCCAACGCCTTATTCATGCGTTCTCTTACGACTTGTTTGTCTGAATAAATAAATGAATGAGCTATTTGAACGCTAAAGTTGTGTGCTAAGACAACTGACAAATATAAGGCAATGAAGGCGAGGTGATTGAACTGAATTGACCAAAATTCCATAATGGCTGCTGCCTCCAATAGGAGTAAATCAAATGTAAGCGCCAAAAAGATGCTGATCCTTAGGCTTGAACTGGATAGAAGACAGGTCCCGAAGGCCACAGCTGTGGCAATGATAAGAAAGAGGACAGTTTCTCTTTCCAGTGATGAAAGGTCTTCAACCTCGAAAAATGTCTCCGACACTGGTTTAGGCTTCAAGGAGACCTTTAAGTCCTCCCTTAGTTTCTCTAGGTTGCCTTTGTTTTCATTTAAGGTTTTCTGTACTACCATCTTTACATGATATCGAGATGCGGAAATCGAAAAATTGACATCTTTCTTGTCAACCAACACATCTCGTCGAAAAGGTAGATTTTGAGATTGATTGAGAAATTTGTGGAGGCAAGTGCGAAATTTTAAATTTGTGCAGCTCTTGCTTTTATTGTTTAAAAAGGCAGCCAGCCAACACACCGTTCTCTCTTGACTGTAAGAAGCTTTTCCAAGCGTTCCACAGATTTGAAGCATTTCTTCTTGAATAGTCTTCTGCGAGTAATCAGTCCTCCGGGAAAACACGATACTTACATCTGTTTGTTTTCCAAAAAATTTCTTTTGCGCTTCATAAAACTTGATGAAGTTATCATTTTCTTGACAGAGGTTTTCTGTAGAAAAAGTTCTTTCACTCGCTTGCAGAGCAGAGGAGACACAGATACTGATGAAGCAGACAATGAGAATGAACGAGATGACTTTACCACCAAATGAAGTAAGCCGACGCGGAAGGTTCTTAGTAACGTACCAAATGACATTATGTACTCCCTCTCTCTTTCCTTGCAAGAAGCTGCTAATTTTCGCTCTGGGACTCATGCAAAATGTGTTTAAGGTTTTTAACTGCCTTTCGAGTGAAAGTGTTAAAGTGGGAGCGATTAAGAAAGACGCAGCCGAAGCAAGAGCAAAAGCTATCACTGTCACCAAAAAGAATTCGGACGTAACCTCAAAGGAAGATTTGATTGCAATTCCCAGGAGAATGGTTGAACAAAACGCCGAAAAGAGTTGGACTGTTCCCACTCTTGCAGTGCAGCTGGTAACTCTATAATCAAGCGAGTGTACAATTCTCTGTCGTCTCCACTCTCCCAAGAAGAGAGCAACGTCTGATGTTGATTTTCCCAACAGAAGAAATGGAATGAAAATGGTGGTCGGGAGTAAAGAAAGGCCGGCCATGGAAACAATGCCTGCTGTACATATATAGGGTACCAAGAAAGTTGCGGAAATGAATAAAGCAGTTGTTAAACAGCACAAGTTGCTGAAAACAATGTAAATGACAACAAGTGAAAGAGATAAAACTATTAATATTGACAAACAAAGCGCCAGTATATCTACTTTCAAGATTTGTTGCAAAGCATCATCGGTTGCTCTTCCACTCTTGTAAAAGAGCGATGCGCATTTCATTCCATCTCTTAATGATGAGACTTGGCTCTCAAAGGTGGCTTCAAAGTTTTTTACTTTCTGATCCTCATTCTCAGTTGTTGGCTTTTTAATGAAATAGGTAATTCGAAGAGCTTTAGCCTGGGAAGTTGGCGGATCTGATCCTTTATTGACTTTAAAATTACTAAGTATCTGCATGTGGGAGATTTTCAGTGACTGGCCATCTGAAAGTATTGTCCTGGGATTATTCCACTCACGAACCAGAATTGAAGGAAGGTTTCTTAAATGTTCGAAGTTAGAACCGGCTAACTCCAATGGACTACTGACGATGCAGTTGTCTTGTGTTTTGGTGCTGGCGTTTGACGGAGGCCCTCTGAAGCACAAACTTTGGTAATCACTGTTGTTCAACACCGTCTGGTGCACAAGCTTAGCTTCCTCTAGACATTTCTCTTCTAAAATATTTCCAGTAAGTTTGGGCGTCACTATGATCTGCTCCTGACGTGAATCAAGGAGTGGAAAGAATTGTGCTGCATGCTCTAAGTCCATCCTTGATTGGCTATTACTTACAGCTAGTTGTTTACTGGATAGCTGCTCAACACTTATCCGAATAAAACCCAACAAGCTAGCAACACAAACGACAAGTGAAACGAAGAAGATAATCAAGGGCCTTTGTCTGGCTAGAAAGAAACCAAATTTCTCGAAAACTTTCTCGTAGGCTGTGAGTATGTGATACGAGACATCCCTTCGTCCACGAAAGATAGTTCTTGGTCCAAGGCGATTTTCATTAGATGTCTCGTAGAGGTCAAAAGACCTGAAATCGAAAAGGAGTAATAATAATAATGATAATAATAATAATAATAATAATAATAATAATAATTGACACTTATATAGCGCAATTTCTGTAAACATTCTCGATTGCGCTTCATAGAAGTTCTAAAAACAATAAAAATAATTGTAAAAATTTAAGTACATACTAGTAAAAATTAAGAACCCACTCCTGAACGCGCATCATAGAAGTTCTAAAAATGGTTAAAATAATTCAAAATATAAGTACATAGAAAGTAAAAATAAGAACCTAATCTTGAAAAACTTGAGAAAATATAAATGTTTTCAATTTCGTTTTAAAAGTTAAAGGGGTTGTGTCACTACAGGCCAGTTCATTTTGTTTAATTTTGCCAATTACTAGCCCTAAATCGCTATGGAACTTAAAGTAAGCAAAGAAATTACATGTGAATGACAAAATCAGAGATCCGAGACAAACAAATATGTTTCCTGAGCAATACTTTTGAAGTTGCAAGCAGCCGGGATCAACTTTGAAAAACTGTTAGGCTGAACAGTTTTCAAAAATCCTAATTTCAATCCGTTTCGTTCTTCTTCAGTTTTGCCCATCCATGGAATCTGTTGTTTCTGTTATGTTATTTTAACCTTCCTTTAAAGTTTTAAGCGGTTATTTTTATGTTTCTCTTTATTTAACGGGCACTTTGTAATTTCTTAATTTGGCTGAATTTCGTGACATAGCTACTCTAATGGCTTCATGGTCGTCCGTATGTCTCGTGGTAGGCTACTCCTCAACTTTTGGGCGAACATAAAAGCGCGATCCCTAAGGGTCTTTGATGACTTCATCGGTGGAAAGCGAAGGAAGATTCTATCACGAGAACTGCACAGACTGTAACATGAAGGTGTCGCAACACAAATAAGAGAAGAAAGATAAGAAGGGGCCACATTATTTAAAATCTTAAAAGTAATTAAAATCATCCTTAAATCAACGCGTTGCCTCACAGGTACCCATTGCAAATCCCGTAATATTGGCGTGACGTGACAGAATTTAGGCGCTGAATAAACCAAGAGAGCACATGGTTTTTGAATTCGCTGGAGCTCTAAGATAAGACTGTTAGGCAAAACATAGAATAAACTGTTGCAGTAATCAAGCCTCTGCTAGTGATGAACGCGGGAATAAGTGTCTCATTGTTTTCTTTAGATAGGAATTTTTTTGTGGCGAATATTTTAAAGGTAGAAAAATGCTGCCACGTCTTGCCAATGTCAGTAGATCCATTGTAAACTTTGAATCAAGCCACACACTAAGTTCTGTGGCTTCGCCAGCCGAAGAAACTCATACAGGTCCAACCGTAATCGAGTTAATAGAAACTTTAGCTAACTGTTGACGTGTGCCAACGAGTAAGGATTCAGTTTTTTATTGTTAAGCTTAAGTTTATCAAGATGCATCCAAGACCTAATGTCGCTTACGCAGTGTTCCATTGCAGCAAGGGCAGAGGTCTAATCGTCAATAGTATTGGCACAAAACGAAAGATACAGCTGAGTGTCATCAGCGTAGGCATGCACAGATGGAAGATGCGATCGAATAACATCAAATATCGTGCTGGCTTAGATCGAAAACCACTCTACAACTCTTTTATGTATTTTTTTTTCGGTGTATGAGTATGAAGCATGTGCAAACAGACGTAAATCACAGGCCATGTAACCATAAAGCAATCTGATTTTAGCTCCATTCACGGGGCATTTCGACCCACACTCCAAAAAATAAACCAGAAGAAACAGAAGCCAAATAGCAAATGCAGAATTTTTAACTGACAATCAAAACTTAAAAAATGTCTTCAAACAAAAGCACTTTTCATTAAATGGAGAAAGTAGTGTGATTGTGCGGAGTCTTTTCAGTTTAAAACCTTGTTTTCTGTTAGTTTGTATTCTATCCGGCTTCGCGTTTGGAAGGGGATTACTATATGAACATACCCCGCCGTTAAACGAGACAAAAAAGTGCAATAACTCAAACTCCCCTGAGATGCAACTCCTGAAAGCTAGTAAGTGAGGTTAGAAACGCTTTAGTTTTCTCCGTTTCTCTTCTGTAAAAGCCTAGATGAACTACTAACAAAAACAGCCAGCGATGAAAACCCTGTTGCGACGCTTTCCTCAACCAAAACCCAAATATACAAAACACAACAAAGGAATCTTGATAGCAGTTGTATTTCTTTCCTTGGTGGCAGTGGAAAAACAAGAAACGTTAAAAACGTAAAATGAAAAAAAGGCTTCAGTTTTCGGTACAAAAATTTCTAACTGCTGCGTTTTTATCCGTCAGTATTCACCTGTCAAAAATTTTACCAATCTTGGTCAAGGTTGTCTTTAGTAGGTGGAAACAGGGAGCGGAGACAAGCGGTGACACGTTAAAGAGGTTGAAAGCACGTCCGATTTTTGCATGTATATTTATTTATTAACAAGTAATCACGTGCTTTTTATCGTGCAATTTGGGATAAACAAGCACTCGTAAAGTTTTCAAAGACCACAAATTGTACTCGTCCTTCGGGCTCGTGCAGTTTGGTAAGTTTTTGAAAAAAGTGCTTGTGGTGATTTATCCCAAATTGCACTCGAAATCATGTGATTACCTCTTCAAATATGACGGAAACGATTCTTTTTGTTAAAACGTTTGGCCCAATGTGGACAAAATGTAGTATCAGAGAGTCCCGAACAGTTTTTCATAAAAAATAGAGAGAGAGAAAAAGATGAAAAAAGTAGGCAACCTCTGGCACAGTACCTATCCAGCAGAGGCCCTTCAATCTTCCTAGATAAGTCGCTTCCTCTCCCCGACTTATCTAGGTAGATTGAAGGGCCTCTGCTCGCAGGGTACTGGCACAGAGGCTGTGTGGTATGACCAAACTAGCAAAGAATTCAAATACTTAGCCACTCCCTAATTGTTCTCCTGGAACGGTGCTGGTCATCTTTTACCCGATCTATGTATTTGACTGGGAAAGACAAATTTGCAGCCTTTAACGCAGCCAAATAAGCCTGTTCTTTATAAATGTAGTACATTTCAAAGAAAAGTAGATAATTAATGCAAAATGAGTGAAAACAGAGGCGTTTATGACAAGAAAATCAATTGGTGTGTCTTACTTGATTGGAGTGGTCAGTCAAGAATGTTTGCGAAATTCATTTTCCATGCATGGTTTTTACGCGCGCTTTGAGTGAAGAGTAGCGGGCGTACATTGCGCTTTTCGAGGACGAAAAGGACGTTTCCGTCAAGCAGATAAGCCAGAAAACGGGAATTTCACTCCCTACAATTCGATCAGCAAATAACACATGAAACTTTTGCTGAATTTTCAGAGTGCGTGACCCAACAACTTTGAACAATTTTCCCATCGCCGAAATAGTCAATGGGGAAGCGCTTGTAATGAATAAAAGCACCAAATGGAGAGAGGATTATAGTTAAATATTTACAAAAGCTGCATTTTTACTTTTTACATTTGCATGCTTGCTTTTGAATTTGTAGCGATATCCAGTCCAGAGAAACACACTATGAAATCTAGAAATGTCACGCGCGATAACGTGACAAGATGTACTATCGCGTGACCTGTAAAAGTGCACGTTTTGTCTTCGGGTTACATATAACTGGAAAAATTATGACCTAAATTGATAGTTTGTAAACCAAGGCATGATAAAAGTTGCCATAGTTGACTTCTAATCTTTTTCTCTTCACAATATCTGCAATTCGGAACGATTAACAGGACATTTGTGAGCGGCTGCGAAGATTAGCAACGGTTAACAACGATTAACAAGGAAGTTTAATAAGAATCAGAAGGTCATTCTCTATTGAAAACGAAATGGTGTTAACCGTTTCAATGCTTTGTTAATCGTAATATTGTTCTATCCATGGAATTATCATAAAAAGTTAACCGACTTTTAACAAACAAAGTTTCGGTAACACTCATAGTTTAACCAATTATATTAGCTCGGAGAAGCAATTTCCACGTGACGGGAAACGGTTCTATATCGGATTGACTATTATATGTCCCTAAATAAACACTACGAACTCCTTTTCGTCGAAGAGAACCGTCATACAAGTCTTGTTCAGACTTTTCTGAAAAAGATAAATTACTTTTCACATTTTCCGAGCCTTCCATTCCTGAACTACGGGAAAATATGTAACAATTAGCACGCGTTGTACGGCTGCTGCAAAAAAACGTATATGAGGTCGTGCTTTTCTATGAGAAGATGGTCTGGCATGAAACTTTGTGCTCAAAACAGCTTCTGTAAAGTACTTTTTACTAGCATGTTTTTGTTTTGTCCTTGCAGATATTCTTGCGAGAAAACGCGAATTCACCTTGTACACAATCTTGGACAAAACTGTTGACAGAGAAAATTGTATACTTGGAGAGTATTTTTCTAAACATCGTAGCTGTACCGGTTCTTCCCTCTCCCCCTTCGCATGAAAGCAATGTTGTTGTGTATTCAAAAGAAAGCCTGATCCCTGGGCGTTTGTGGGAAGCAACTTTGAATTGGGGGAAGGGGTTTTCTTTCCGCAAAGGCGTCGTTTTGGCAATAGTTTTGTTGCGTAGGAAAGTGGACATGATGGGGAAAACTTTCTCAAGTAGTTTTGTCCGGGATTGTAGATCCATCTCCACTTGCAGGCGTAGGGCTCGTCAACACTTTTGCCTTTTTGGAAACCTCCGTTTAAGGGGTTTAAGGGCGTTTAAGGGGCGTTTGTGATAGGTGGTACTAACCCTTTACACATGTCTTTGTGTCTAAACTATTCTTGACAGCTTGTGTGACATTCTGGACAAGTTATGCTGTCATATATGGCTAGCTATAACTTGAGCGAGTCAACCATCTTTCTTGTCTGCCCAAATGAAAACGTGACAAACAGATGCGTATTCAAAGAAACTGCGCACAGGGTCTCATTTTTACACGTATATAAATGTGGCTTTATCAGTTGATGTTATAAGGTAGATAGGTGGGTGGTCTGCTGACGTGTCCTCACCCCCCCCCCCCCACCCCAGAAAAGTAGTCTACGTCTTGCGAGAATGGTGTGCAAACTGTCA